TTTAATTATTTACAAAATTACCTTTTTTTAGCTAACTTTATCAAAATTACATATTTTTTTAGTTAACATTATCAAAATTGCATTTGATATATATAAAAATAAATCCAAAATTTTGAGGGGGGTTCTTTAAATTATTCACTTGTGCCTCCCCCCAATGACGTTACTGCTAAGGGCTATGAATGGGCATAGTTGCTTGTCAGTCACGAGGAAGCCGAGATTAGAACTGGGGATGTAACCAATTAATGTGATCGTTTGCATTTACTTTTAAACTAATTGTATGGATGGAGCCTCAACATTTTACTACAGATTTAAATAAAAACGTGGGCTTTCTACCTATTATACTGTGGGCGCTATTTAGGATTAACTAAAAGTCGTATTCTCTACTATTTGCCAAAGACCCTGGGTAAGATAACAATCAATTTAATCCATGAAACACAATTGGTAATAATTAAAATAAATCATGAATATTTTTAAAAAAATAGTCTTAAATTTTACACATAAAATAGATAATTTCTGGCAGAAATAGGATAATGCAGGACAATTTATCAATACTTCGAACGTTTTCCTGAATGGCAGTATTATATCCCTTAACATTTTACACACCGCCCTCTACTAAATGCCATTTTCTTACCTACCTCCTAAATATTTTTAGCAAAAACAGGAAATCTTAGCTATCAAAATTGCTATGAAAAACATAGCTCCGGCAGCTAAAGTATTATATTAATAATCTACAATCAAAATGAAACTTAAAATGAGAGACTGGAGTAGATGTTTCCCTAGCCTAAGTTCAAAAAACACGCCTGATGTCCGAAAGCCCAGCCAACTACAAGTTGCGTGATTTTACTACCCGACCACTTAGAATTACGCAAATTTATGCCTTTTTTTCATAAAAAAAATATTATACGCCGAGCGGGACAAATTGTACAGAAATATATTGAGGGTCAGGCCCAAAGATATTTACAAGCCCTAATAGGCCGGTTTGGGCTGTCCATGCTAATCTCTCTGGACCTAACTCGACATCTTGCGCTGCCCTCATACTCGCCCCTTCTCGATAAGGAGCTTAAAATGATTTTTTTTAAATTACATGCCGGGCTGGGTCTAACACTTTTTTCTTTTCAGATCCCCCACCCCAGACCACCGTGCTAGACCATTTTAGATTTTTAAAAAAATATGTATTATATCAATTAAGAAAATCATAAAATGGATCATTTAATCCTCATTTTCCGCTCATATACATCCATTGATGCAATGTTCAAAAAATATATAAGCCAAAATTATTCGAAATAATATAATTTTAAACAAATTTGGGCTGAGACTTAAATAAAGGAAACCTCAGGATAAATCAAAATTTCTTTGAAAGAAATTTGCGCCGAGCTTGAGTGTTCAAGTTGACCTGAAGCCCTGCCGGAAGTTGGACTAAGCTCCACTCTAAAAAGTGATAAAAAAATTGTAGGCTATATTCGGGCTTAAAAATTAACAATTAGTACTTTGCTCAGTCTTAAAAAATTTAATTCAAAGGACTCGAGTTAAAATGGAGTGGAGGCTGATATATGCTAAAATTATTTTTAAAAAAAACCTTTAAACTTAAAGTTCCCTGGATCCAAGAAATCTTGTAAATTACGATTTTGATTTTCCTCGTAATTCAAACGTTATTAACAAGATTTTTTTTAAAAAAATTTAAAATAATAATTATACTGCTTTATTAAAATACATATTATATATACAGGATATAAAAAATATATTTCCAGGATATATATATATATATCTATAAAGTGAGTTTGTAATATTATAACAAAACTATTTTTAAAGTTATAAAATGTGTGTATTACTAACTAAACTACATCCAGAACTTGATAATCGGAAATTACAAAATATGCAATTGTAAGAAATTCAATCCTAATTCATTTTAGGGAAATTTTTTAAGCTATATATCAGAGTTATTTTTCTTTTCCTTACTGCAATAAAAAAAAATTGAGGATTAATTTACCTTTTTTCTAAGATAAAAAATAAATTTCCAAATAATACTTATTGTATATTTAAATTTTTTAAGAATATGGGGGAAAAGTTATTTATTTCAATGAAAACGATTTAATATTGCCATTAACCTGGTTTTGTAAATCATTTCAAACTTATAAAGAATTATTTCAAACTTAAAGCGTAGCAGGTGAGGCCGGGGCTTAAATAATGTGACGTGTGAAACCATTTGGTCTCATTTTTAAATTTAAATCCCTAGAAAATCTAAATTTTATCCTAATAAGGATTTATAAAGAATATTTTTAAATAATTTGCCCTTAAAAATGTTATATTATGATTTAAAACTTTGATGTCAAATTTGGAAAATTTTGCATGATAAGATTATAATTTATATTAAATTTGAAGAATATTAATAAATACATGCACCTTTATATAGTTTGAAACCTGGGAAAGTTTTGCAACATTTATGCTTGTATGCACATTATTTTAATTAGTATAGAATAGATGTTGTGTTAATGAAGTTTGCAAAACCAGTGCACTTTGAACCACTATTGTATCATGAAATATTCTATCAAATTTATATTTTATCTTTTGTTATTTTATGGATTATACTTAAAATTTCCCAGAAAAATTAACTTAAAATTGCAAAGAACGTTTATAAAATTATCAATTAGGTTATATAAATACATTTTAGCTTAATTTTATTGAATATAATTAAACATAAATGACATTTTTGTTAATTATTGGATAAATATTCTTGAAAGCCTCATACATTGGTTTTACTAACCTTCAAAAGGAAAATTTTAAAAGGATGATATTATATTTAATTTATATTAGTATACTAATAGTATATTATATAGTGGTGGATATCTATTGATATATAGTATATACTACTTCCATATAAAAAGATACGAAAATTTTATACGATTTTAAATAGGTGTTTTGCCAAACCCCGATCTCATCATTTCAAACCTTTAAAGTAACATTTTAAACTTATTTTACATATAAATAAATTATACATGTTTCTTAAAGTTTGAAATGATACATACTTTACGAGATAAAATGCCATATATTTATTATGTAATATATACAATATATATCTATATATACACATATATATTAGTGTATGAATCTGAAGACGAATTTTATAATATAATGAATAGCTTTAATTTGAATTTTATATTTAATTTTTAAGCTTTTTCCTGAAAAATACGTATATAAAATGGCTATTAGGCATAGGCTAGCCCCCCCTCCCATTTAACTTATAATAGGACCAATTTTTCACATTAATTAAAGTGTATATTTTTAACATGTACCTTACCTAAGTTCATTTATTCAATTAAATACATTTTAAAAAAATTATTTAATTATATATCCCCATCTAAAAAAATACCTTATGCATTTTTTGTTTTATGAACAAACTATCAGAGTTGTTAAAGTAGCGCACCACAAATAGGGCGGTACCTAGTGTGCTATGTTTGGTAGCTAGAGCTAAGCCCGTTACTTTTTAAAAATATAACCTTAAACACGAAAATCAAAATATAATTTCATTTATGAATTATAATTTTAAATTGATTAAATCATTTTGAAATTTGCATTTTCGAAATTTATAAACCCAAATCTTCTCAAATATTAAAATTGTCTGTCTTAGCAAAAGGATAAATTATTTTTTATTACATTCTTTATAATATATAAAAATGTTAATTTTTATTTTATATACACACCAAATTAATTACATTTTAACCAAAAAATAAAACAGATTTATTAGATTTTTTTAAAAAGTAGTGGTAGCTAATAGCGCGCTACTTGGTTTTGACAGGTTTGGCAAATAATAGTAACGTTAGCGTGTTTCTTTTAAAAGTAGCGTTAACAACACTGCAAATTATCTTTTATATCCTTGGGCTAATATTATTCCCCCAGACTTACATGTTAAGTTTAGTGTGTGAACATACATTTAATAATACAGTGGTAAAAATTATCTATCCAAGTTTTGAGTGGTCATAAAATTTTTTATCATATTTAAATTTGTCATATAATAAAGTTTATATAATTAGAAAAAAAAATTTAATAGATGAGTCCATAGGCGTGGCCAAGATAATGCTAGGGGGAGGGGGGTACTAATAGATGGGGTTTCCCCCATAAATTTTATTGGCGATCTTTAAGTTTACTTATTGATTGGCTATATTAGATTTTTAAAAAAATAATTTTGGACTTTTTCTTTTTTTTCTAAAAATTTTGTATTTTTAGTCCTTAATTTAAAAAATATTTTACTTTTATTATACTTATTTAAAGAAAATCGGATGGGGGGGGGGGGGGGGGTAGTATAGAGGGAAAATTTTTATTAGTTTAAAATGAAAATTACAAAAACATAAAAATTTTGATGTCCCCTTTCCTTCGGAAACACCTACATATGCTTCTGATAATAAACTGAGATGTTAATATTAATTATATTAGTGTATATAATGAGACTAATATTGAATTCAAGAAATATTAACGCTTGCTCCTTAAACATTCTATATTGTAATCTTTTATATTTATAATAAATATTAAATAAGAAACTAATTAATAAGGGGTATGTGGCCAGCCAAAGCATCAAGTATTGATTGGCTTAAACAAAAAACTTTCACGCAAACTTATCTAGCTCAAAAACCATTATAGTTATTTGATTCAAATTTAATTATTAAGAATTGGAATCCACATCGATTATTGAATTGTTTAATACCCAATTCTTGACCCTTTTTTTTGACAAAAACAAAATAATGGCCAATTATGCCATTTTTTTATATATTTATTAACCTCTTATCTAAAAAAACACCCCACATCGATGTTTTCTTTAATTTTGTAATGGAAATCAATCAATTTTGTTTATAAATAGGTATATAAAAAATACCAGCATTTATAAAATTTAAATGTTTATATTCAGATTTCTCGAGTAGATATCCACAAATTAGAAAGAAAAAAAAACTTAAAAGCTAACATAGCAAATCGCCTTTATATAAAAAAACAAGTTATATTTTTATGTATACCTGAACTTGGGAGAAAAGTTTTATTTCCATCTTGACAATTGTAAACACAGGTATCGCAATATTCTTGGCTACCTATTAAGCGATCCTCCAAAATAAAATTCTTGCCATTGTTTTGACTATTCATATCAAAAATATCCGGCAAAAGAGTCGTATTATTGGAGTCAATGATTTTGGAATCTATAAATTTTATAAAAGTTAAATATAATCTTCCAATTATTCAACAATTATATGGGCGAGTATGTAAGGTTATAAAACAAATATATTAATGATTTATTAACTCCCTTTAAAAAATAAGAGACTTTTGATGGCTCTATTTAGAATTAGTGAATTTTAAAAAGCCTTCAAAAAAGTAAAAGTGAATAATGCTAATGCTCAAATAGAAAATATATTTGGCATTTTTTAAAGTTATTAAAGGGTTTGAAATGTAAATATTAAGTGTAAGTATTTATATTTTTTGTAATGTAACGATAAAAGTAACTAGTTACTTTTGGAATTAATCTCAAAAATAAAATTAAATATCTCCTTCATTATCTTTTTTTTTATGATTTCTCAAATTTAATTGTATAAAGCTTATTAATTATAATATCTCACATAAATCAAGTGCCCCGCAGAACGTCTTTAGTCTTATAGGGAAAAATAAGCATGCATTTTTTATACAAATTTTGGAAGGAGTTTATGTTTACAAATCAAATAAATATTTATTAGGCCGCTAATTTTTTTTTTTTAAAAAAAATAAATATTATATTGCATTTTTTTAGAACAGAGTATACTACACAAGGGTAAAAAAGTTTCTTAAGTGTTCAATTTAAAAAAATAAATATGTGCACAAAAAAAAGAATAATATAAACGGAAAATTATGAGGGAAAAGTTTGAACGGAGCAGATAAAACTACCCTTGAGAATTTCAATTTAAAACATTAAAGTTTCTTTTGCATCATAAAAATCCAGGGAATCGCCCATTATACTGCGTACTTGCGTGTTCCCGATCACATAAAGCATCAGGAATGATATAAACTAGTGTGATAGCTATAACTGGGGTAAGAATATAATCGGGAAAAACTAAGTATTTGTTCATTTTCATGACATCCTGTTATAAGATATGATCTGAGTTAAGGTTAGAGAAGAAATGTTAACACACACGGAATCCCATGATAAAAGTGTTCCACACTCCTGCCGGCAAGCGTAACGTCGTCTCGGGTCTTGTTTGAGAAGGGAAAAATATAGGCGGGGGGGAGGGGGGTTGAATTTTAAATATTCTAAAATATTAAACTTTCATTCACCCTTATAATAGGATAATGGTAGGAAATATATTGGGATTTTACCTCCATTAATATATTTTCTTTCTCTCTCATACAACACTTATGATCTACCAGGAATAGCTGAAAAGAAAAGAATATCGAATATACGCACATTTATTCATAATCTTTTTAATTTGGAAGGAAGCTAATATACTTTATAAATTAATTAGCCAAAAGTGTCCAAAAATTCCCAATTTCAAGAGCTTTTTATTGAAGATTAGTTTCGAAACTCATTAATATTATTACTATCTCCATTTGTATTTACAATTTACTATTTAATAAATTGATTATAATCTATAAAAAAAATAACTAAAGAAACCCTGAATAGTTGTGTCATTAAAAGTAAATTACAACCGTAAATGTAAACACATATAGGTGTATAATCAACAAATGTATATTTATGTATGTTGTTATATTATATATCAGAGATCTCCAGACCCGGATCCTAAGCCCAGCTCGGCCCAGGTAGACGGGTTGTGCCATATCTTTTTTAAAAAATACTCTAGTCGGGCTAAATCTTTTCAAAAAGAATTCCGGACCGAGGAAATTTGATATCTCTGTAGTTCTCTGATATACATGTGTATATATTCCGATAATTTAGATTAGTGAAGCACCATGAGATGCCGCCCGCTTCCACGGAAACTACCCTAAAGGTCAGGTTAGTTCCTGTACGGGTCTTGTGGGCGGCAATAATTGCTTTTGCGATTTTTAGGAAGGCTCTAATAATTACACAAGATTGTGGACATTATTAAATTTATAGAATAGTATAAATTCTTAGAATCATCTATTCAAGACCATTAAAATTTGTTAATTACACTATATAACCTAATTTAGTCGATTTTGAGACGATTTAAAAAAAAAGTTAAATGCAGGTTTAACTGTAAACTATCACTTTGGTCACAGGGGGTTTTATTTTGTTGTGGAAATATAGCCTCAATTTCTAAGAAGGCAGAAATAAATTACCTCGTGTCTCAATGCTTAACTCATTTTATTCTGTACACACCTATATATTAAATTGAATTAGCAGAATTAATTACCTAACTATAATACATATGTTACTTCTCATCCGAGTTAGATCCAAAAATAATTTCCGTTATTTATATAAAAGTTTGGAAGAGAGATATTTGGTCAAATTATATCTAGAAAAATGTTATAAAATCTTTTGTAAAAAGTTTTTTATAAGATATTCGTGCATAAAATATCTTTCGGTAGAGAAATCACAAATTTTATATAAAAAAAATATCCTTTTGCAAAAAAAAATTTTTAAATGGCTACTTATACTATATTTATATCATATAGGAAGGATATGTAATTCATGGGAATTCGAAAATCACTCGATTTTAAATTTTACTAAGGGCAAATTTTAAATTTGAAAAATATGAATTAACCGGAAACGAATTCCAACTTGTATAACACATCCAGCGTCTACATGACAGGATTTTCACTGGATGCAAACCCCCTTCTATTATTATTTTACCTTTTTAATTTATTGATACTCTTTTTAGAGAATTTATCTAGGATAACTTAAATTAATCCATCTCTACTACCAACTATCAATATTTTGTGAATATACAGAATTTATTTTATAGATAATAAATTCAATTAAAACCTCCATTATTTACAATGAATTAATTATTATGGCATTATGAGCTTGCTGAAATATCAACCTTTTAAATGATAGCAAAGTTTTATTTGGAAAACAATGTGTATGGTTGTTTGCAATATATAGATTTGGTCGATGAATTGTATTATAATAATTCTATAATAAAAGTATTAATTTTTACAGCAATAAAATTTGTCCTATTATATCTCAAAATTTAATAGATAACCCCCAAAAAAATTTATCCTACCCCCATTAAAGCAGCCTATCCCCTACCCCCCTCAAAAAAATAGGATGCAAACTGTTCCTACCCCTCCCGCTCATGTAGACGCTGAACACATCCACACTGTAAATTTTCGACAATTTTGCCTAGAACATTTTAAATATTTTTATTTTATATAAACTTTTATATAAATTTTAAAAAAATACACGAAATTTTTAGGGTAGGTATTAAACACTTACTGGAACGCATTTTCGGTCATTAAAAATTAAAAATCTCTACCAGAATGATTTAAGAATGAGATTCCGAATTTGATCGGTGTATTCCAATATATATATATTGAACATTCACACTATAAATTTCAAAAAATTTGTCTTAGAATTTATGAAGTATTCTTAATTTATATCAATTTTTTATATAGATTTTTTTTATTGAGTTAAAAAAAACGCAAAAGTTTATGGCGAATAATGTCTGAAATTTATAGGGTAGGTATTCTACACATTCTGGAAAATATATATCCGGTCATATCAGATTTTTCAAATTTAACAATTTTTCTCGGTAAATGATAGAAAAGTGAGAGATTCCTTATCCCCATGAATTCCATAATCCCAATACGGCATACATATCAAAAAAAAATTATATATTTTAAAATGTTGCATAATTATTGTTTACCCATCATAACTAATTTCTATAACCGAATCCTCGAAGTGGGATATGTCGATATTCGTATCTTCTATATTGATGATATACTTCCGAAAACATCAATACTGGTCAAAGGATTATTTTTCAAAATCTAAACATACCAATTTTCGAATCTTTCTTTTTTCGTTTTTTTATTTATATTTAAATAATGGAATTGTTCACAAATTAACAGTTCCTTTTTGAAAAACTATAAAGGAAAAAATAATATCTTGTTAAATCCTCTATCATTTTTTTTTTAAAATTATTTTTCCCCTTCCCTTATTTCAAAATTTTTTTTTTAACTAATATTTAATTCAAACTTTCATTTAAAATTTTAACCATTTTTATAATTACATTTATAAAAAAAAAATATATAATGAATTTTGTTTTTTAATTATTTTAACTATACCATTTTATCGGAAAAATAATTAAGTTTGTCAATCATTTTAACTTTCGCAGATTATAATGGAATTATTTTTCGTATTTATTTAGTTGATTGACATTATGAAACGAAAAAATATATAATAAGAACTACTATTGGTTGGTAACATTAAACGAAGAGGCATAGGCATAATTAGTCAGTGGGGTTTAGGTGTAAATTTATATTTTTACCCTTTTTATAATTAAAATATCTTCTTAAAATTTTTAATTGGAGTTGGGTCCCATCTAGATAACCCTGTTTGGACTTATCTTTAAATATTCATTCATTTCATCCATTAAATGGATTAATGTAGAATATATAAGTAAAATATTTATTACACAAAATTTATTGAACCATATTTTCATTTCAAAATATTTACCGCAAGTCTTTTAAGGCCTTAAAAACCTAAAATTAGGCTTTTTATGGCGTGAAAGGTGAAAGAAAACTTTTATCAGATTTGTACTTAATTTTTTTAAAAAATGAAAGTTATTTTCTCGTGAGAATTTGGGGGGGGGGGGGAGCTTAAGATGCTATTTACGAAAACTTGCAATTCTATACTAAAAATCTTTACGGGATGGGGGGGGGGGGCAATGCTAATTCCAATCAAAAATATCGTTGTTTTATCTATTTAACATCTCAAATTTGTATTTTACTCATGCATGAGCTCAAATATCAAATAGATATTTTTTTAAGGGTACTAATTAGTAATAGAATAAAATCCAGATCTGCAGAGAGGGAAGCGCAGAAGGAGGGGCAGGGTGGGGGGGGGGCGGTGTTAAACCTTTTAAAAATTTTGATAATCTAATAGCAAAATTTAAAAAGAATGATTATGAAATATATTTTATGTTTTTCTAAATCTATCTTAAAAGTTTAAAAATTTGCACTGCTCGACCCCATTTTTTTTTTAAAAAAAAATATTCGGCCTCGGATTTTTTAAAAATATATTACATTTATTTTTAACGTTTATAGCTAATAATGGTGGTTTATAATATTCGGTTTTAAAATATAAGGCTCGGCCCAAGATTTTAAAATATTCTATTGAGATATGGACATAAAGATTCAAAATTTATAAATTTTACATCACTTATTAAAGGTAAATTTTGCATTGTACGTTCAATGAACTATATTTAAAATCGCTGATAGATTATTTAGAATCTAGAGGTCCCGAATACCTATGGATTCCATATTCCAATATGACATATAATATACCTACGCATATTTAAATAAATATTCAGTTAATTTTGAAAAAGAATTATTGTTTTTAAAATAAATTTTTTTAAAAAAAGAATAGTTTAAAAGTATTGTATAAATATAATCCTAATAAATTTTATTTGTATAAATTCGAAATTTTCACACATTTTATGGATAGCAATATTTTTCTATTTTAATATATTGTATTTTCATCATAGCCTTTTTATATAATATCTGGAAAAAGTAAATAGTAATAATACCTGCAATAGTATTTTATTTTGAAAGTAACGAACGACTTCACTTTGCTTTCTCCATTTTTGAAAATTAACGAAAAAAAAAATGATGCATTTTAAAAATCATTTGGAAAAGTAACAACGTTAAATTTTAAAGTAACTTTTTAAAATCACTTTATAGGCATTTATTGGAATAAATGTTATCGGTTAATATTTAAAATTAGAAGATATTATTTTTTATTACCTTATTATGCAATTAAAGATTAACGGTTGGTCTATGTGACTGTTAATGATTTATTATATTATTATATTAAATTTGTATTTTTTTTTTGTTAAATATTTTTTAAACATAAATTAGCACTTAGTAATTATATGTATTGGATTTTCAAAGTCGCAACCATTGAAATATATAATTTTGGAGATTATTTTCTTAAAATATCTAAATTGCCTTATTTTTTTTTACCTGTTTTATAAACACGCTATCCTTAGAAAATAAGAAATATTGCGCATGTATTATTTTTAAATTATACATTATTTTAATAAAACAGTGAAATAATATTTATACTTAGCATTTTAGCAACGAATATCGATTTTATGAAATAATTAAAATCATTTCTATAAAATACCATAAAATAGCGCCTTAACTATTTTATAATTCTAGAATATGAGCAGCCACATAAGTTTTTTTTAAAAATTTAGGCTGATTAAAGGTCATAAAACCTTTATCAACACTTATTGCAACAAAACAAAAATGGTAAATTAACCCCCCCCCTCCCATAAAGCCAGTGATGCCTCTAATTCAATTCAAATATAAATTGTATGAAACCTTGAAATTCGAAAATATGTTAATTACATTATAAGGATGAGCTACAGGGCCGTAACTATAAATATTTTCTTAGGAGAACACTTGGTAGATGGCCAAATATTTTTAAAAACCTATTTTGATCTGAAATTGCATATTTTTATAGAATTCTATGGGAAGAAATTACAGATTTAGATCACTTTTTAGTAATATCAAGATTAGAATGTGAATTAGGTAGTATAATATAATATGCAATATAACACGACTATACTGTAAATTACACATAATTTAGTAATATTATATTTTATATAGTTTTATTAAAATTCACTTCTAAATTTAAAAAAAAATGAAAAGTCTGCAATATTGGGGCCTAAATGTTTTGTGAAAGGAGAGTTCCAAATGCACACCCCTCCCCCTTCCTCCGGTAGCAAAAATAAAGTTTCATGCTTCAGATTCAGCTCAAAAAAATAATAATATCGGTAGATCACTATTCCTAAAAGAGATTTGAGCCCTATGCAATTAAAATATTCTCAAGATTCTCTTTTGTTAAATTGCAATAGAGAAAATATAAAATTTATGGTTGAGAACACTTGTATACGCCTACTTAGGTAGCTGACACCTATCGCGCTAAAATTTTAATCTTTTTATTAACCAACCTACATGTTTCTGATAAATTCAATTTTTCTAATTTCAATTAAATATTTTTTTAAAAAATAAAAATAGATATATATATATATAAAGTGGTAAAATATTTTATTTTCAACAACAGGAAACAAATCCATTATTATATTTAACATCATTAACACTATTAAACTACAAATTTCACCAAAATAATTAATTTTTTCATAAATATTTTCAATATCCTATTTTCTTAAATATATTATATATGGCTTTATTAAATATTTTTTTATTTATTAGATTACAATATATGAGTATATATATTTTACTAATTAGATGAGATAAATAAAAAAATGAGAAATATATAGGGGATAAGTCGCCTTAGTATTATTATACAAAATAATTTGATTAATTATTTTATAATTAGTTTAAAATGATACTTATTATAATATCCTAAATAATGAAGTCAATTTTTGTCTATTATATTTATTTAATATATATAATATTGAATTTGAACTTAAAAAGGCCTAAATTTCAAGAGAATCCGCAGTTTCAAGAGAATCTCTGATTTTAAAATAAATTAAACTTAAATCATGGTTCTTGAATGCTACAAAATTATCAAAGGGTTCGGTAAAGGTCGTAGAGGCTTACAATTTTTTTTTCAATAGAATTTGGTACGGGTCCCGATTAAATTTAAAATAAAATTGGATTATGTCTATGGATAGGCGTATAACAGAATTTTTTAAGGGGGGAGGGTAGCAATATTAGGTGTGTTTTTGCCGATATATTTTATTAGAGATCTTACTTATTATAGGCCTTTAATTCAGGGGCATCACTAGCATTTACAATAGGGGCTCAAAAAATTTTTTAATTTAATTTCAAATTTATCTTCTTTTTTTTAGCTAACATTATCCACCTTAGCTAACATTTACAAAATTACAGTTGGTATTTAAAATTTTTAAATTTTGAGGGAGCTCTTCAAATTTTTCATGGGGGCTCGATCCCCTGCCACCGCCCACAGTGACGCTACTGCTTTGCTAAGAATAATTTTTGCTTTTCACTTATATTTTTATAAAAATAATTTTTGATTTTCACATATATTTTTTTATAAAAATAATTTTGGGTTTTCACTTATATTTTCATAAAAATAATTTTAGGTTTTCACTTATTTTTTTATAAAGGTGCTTTTTTAAAATATATATTTTTAAATTATAGTATTATTTTTAACAATTGTTAACTTTTACTTATTTTTCTTTCAAACTCTTCTTTATAGTGATATATTGTATATTGAGAGGAGGGTAAAGTGTGTATAGGGGGGAACTATTTATCACCTTAAAATGATATTTATGAGAACAGGCATGCTTTAGGTAGAGGAACGTTCCCCTTCCTTGATTACGCACCTGAATCAAGGGGTGCAGGTCAAATCTTGGTCTGCGTTTCCAAATCCAACATAAATTACTCTTAAATCAAATATAATGAGGTATGCGAGTTTATTTTATAATACCTTTCTAGCTTGACTAAATTAGTTACGAATTTAGTAATTTATTTGTTATGTCCAAACATTTAAAATAAAATTAATATATGGTTTAATTTAATATATTTGTAAGAATAACATGATTCCTAGATTTAGTTGATGAAAATTAGTTACTAATTTTAGTTATGCAACTTTGACACATACGCTTAATAGCATTAAGTACGAAATTCGTAAATACGATAATCAAGTTAGGGCAGCTGTATCTTACTGCATTAGGAGTAATACATAAACCATAACTTTTGTTTTGAAGAAAAGAAATTAATCATAAAAATGATCAATATGGTGTGGACAGGTTTATACCATTAAGAATAGATGTCAAGAATTGAATGCAACGTCAACTCTCA